CCATGGGAATCAATAAAATCTAGCGAATTATTTACATACCTAGGAAGCGACATAAATTCTACTGAAATGGATGTGAAAATTTACATAGTTAAAGCCTGGGCCGCCTTGAATAAGATGGATGCAATCTGGAAATTTGATCTACCAGACAACCTCAAACTTTTAAATAGATTCTCTAGAGCCACTGAAGAGACGATTTTAATGTATTGTGTCATTGCTTGGACATTAACTAAAACCCTTGAGTCTAAGCTTGATGGAACCTACACTCGGATGCTGAGAGCTATATTTAACATCTCTTGGAAAAAACATCCAAATAAATCACAGCTCTGTAGACCCATCCCTGATATTTGTACAATCTTACGCGAACGTAAAATGCGCTTCGTAGGACACTGCTGACGAGCAAAACAAGATTTACTGCTCTGGACACATAGCCATGGAGCAAAACGGGTTGGTCGCACAGCAAACACCTACACTGACCAGTTATGTTATGACGCAGAATGCCAACCTAATGACATTCCGACTTTGATGCAAGACCGTTGATGGTTGACGAAATAGACTCATGAATGTCGCAGCTAGCTCTACCGAAAAAGTAAAGAAAATTGCTTAAAAACAAACAAATAAAAATCACTTAGGACTAATATATTAAAGACTAGCAGTAGAGCCCGGCGTTGTCCGGGGATGTAACAGTAAGAGATAGATCAAGTATCAACCATCATAAAGACTGAAAAATAAAATTGACAAAGATTATTGTTTAAGGTTGACGGACACGCATGTCTTAATTATTTATTTTTTTTTACGAATTGGTCAAACCCAAACTCAAACAAAAACATTGTTTTCAATCGTTATGAGTCTCTACCGATTGAATAGAATTTTATTATAAACAATTGTCTTGTAAATGGAATTTTTAAAGCATTCTGAATGTAAAAATAAAGAAAAAAGTGTGCAAGACAATAAGAAACACTACCTGCCAAAAAAAAAGTGAAGTTTTGTTGAAATCGGTTGAAAAATGTAGGAAATCCGATCCCATATATAAACGAACACACACGGACACACAGACACAAACAACCTGGGTTTTATAATAAGTATAACTCGATATGAGTTGTCCCCCTTTCATTCTCGCGATGCCTCTTAATCGTGTTTTCAAATTGATTTTGTGCAAAAACAATTGTGTTTTTCCATTTTTGGCGCTGTCAGAACCACCGCAAGGTAATTTTACGTAGTCCTGTGAAGTTTTGTTGAAATCGGTTGAAAAATGTAGGAAATCCGATCCAATATATAAACGTACGGACACACACACACACACACACACACACACACACAACCTGGGTTTTATAATAAGTATGATTTACGAAAAAAATACTATTACCCTTCAGGTCGCAGGTGATCATGGATCTTCAAAGATTTCGTTTATTGGTATTATCCATAAACTGCCACAACATCTTCCACGGTTTGAATTCAAAGTTATCCTTCGTTTAAAACACGATTGGAGAACCCAACATGCCGTGTAATTTAACCCATATCTGTGAGAAGAAGATCTAGATTGACTATTAAAATTATTTGAACTATTGTTCTCAACTTTGTCGCAATATTTATTACAACGTTTCAGCTGTTGTACGCTCCGGCCTTCTTCAGGTGGTTGGAATGTCGAACTGAACCCCTTATTTCGCTCACTGGGGTAGACTGTTCTAGTTCCACGTGCCATGTCTAATGGATGTCAGTTATCACCTGTTAATTCCCCTCTCAATGTTCTCCACCACCTTAACCAAGTATAGAACTCACACTCTTTGGGTCCTGTCACTGGATCTAACCAACGCCTTTATCCACTGTGCCATGTGTCCTTGAGAAGAATAGACAGATACTCAATTCATATCCATCTATCTATCTATCTATAACTGGTATTTTCCAAAGATATTTACATTGTTTAGCTTATAGTAACAGGCGCATCTATCTCTTAATAAATTACACTTGTTATTTTCCAAGAGTCACTCATAAAACCTTTCCATCTCTTCTCTCCAGTTATGGGTTAAATAGTAGAACAGGTATCTGGAAAAATCATTGTTAATGCAAATTCCATCGATCTCAATTCATACCTACACTATTTACATTATTCGGACTATTGTCCTCATCTTTGTCTCCATATTTATTACAACGTTTCGGTCGTTGTACGCTTCGGCCTTCTTCAGGTGGTTGAAATGTCGAACTGAACCCTTTATTTCGCTCACCGGGATAGACTGTTCTAGTTCCACGTGCCATGTCTAAGGACACATGGCACAGTGGATAAAAGCGTTAGTTAGATCCAGTGACAGGACCCAAAGAGTGCGAGTTCAATACCCGGTTAAGACAGTGGAGAACTTGGAGAGGTGAATTAACAGGAGATAACTGATAACTGACATCCATTAGACATGGCACGTGAGCGAAATAAAAGGGTTCAGTTCGACATTCCAACCACCTGACGAAGGCCGGAGCGTACAACGGCCGAAACGTTGTAATAAATATGGCGACAAAGATGAGGACATTAGTCCGAATAATGTAAATAGTGTGCATAATACCTCATCTCAGAAATATAGACAGATACAGATCTAGATTCATACCTTTCCCAAGGGTGTTTGTGTGGAAAAGAACGCAACGGAGTAGACTAATTTTGAACTTGGCTCGCCAATTACAATTTTCCGCGCTGATAATTGTTAAACACCTATGAACTACTGCCAATCATGATTAAAGTAAATGTTCTAACATAAAGAAAACATTTTCATCACCTTTATAGTAGGTATATTAATTTCATAAGATATTCCGTTGGGATAACTGTCATCGCTAATGGGTAGGAAGATAGATCGGGTGATTATCGTTATCCTGGCTCACTATACGTGAAAGGGGATCGCCTTTCAGCTTATACAAATTCTTCGTAAATGTTTTCCTCTTCAACTGTTCTTTACTTGAAAATTATACATTCAGTCAGTTATGTGCCATGCGTGATACACGCTTAGGCGATCATGTATCTCTCGATACATGACTGACGAGGCAGATTTTTTTCCAGCAGCAGGTTGCCATTTCTTTCTGCGGTAGACCAGTTGCCATCCAAGTCTATAGAACCCAGTCTGTCCTGCTATTTACCCATAAAGTGGGAAGGAGAGGGTATTAGCACGTAAGTGGATATAATGGATTTGACTGGAATTCGAACTCGGTTCTCCGATTCCTCAATCCGAGCACCACTGTAAAGTTATGCACTGTCGAGTCAAATTGCTGAGTCAAAATATTATGACCAGTCGCGAGTGGCAAGTATGAGAGCTACCGTCTTCGATCAGCTGCTCAATGAACTGACTGTGTGGACTGGCGTTACATGATCACAAAACAAAGGACTCTACCTGGCCACAGAAACCACATCAGTTGAGGACTTAAAAATGGATATCACATGTAACTCCAGCAGTAGTTTCGCTCAACACCGTAAATAGTTAGAAAACCAAAACATCAACATGAAAACTCGACTCATGTTCCTAAATAGCCTTGTCCGATCGAGACTGTCACATAGATGGCATGCCTGGCGCCAAATCAGTTCAGAAATATCTTAACTGTGAGCCGTATACGACCTTTTTCCAAGGCCAGTGGTTAAAATTGCTTTGAGCGAGTGAAGCCGAAGGGCCTTTACAATTATAATTCTTCTTTGAACCACGTGGACTGGTTCTTAACCTGGTTCTAATAAATAAACAATGATAATTCTTTTTTGAACCATGTGGACTGGTTTTTATGCTGGTTCTAATAAAATAAACAATGATAATTCTTCTTTGAACCACGTGGACTGGTTCTTATGCTGGTTCTAATAAATAAACAATGATAATTCTTTGAACCACGTGGACTGGTTCTTATGCTGGTTCTAATAAATAAACAATGATAATTCTTCTTTGAACCTCGTGGACTGGTTCTTATGCTGGTTCTAATAAATAAACAATGATAATTCTTTGAACCACGTGGACTGGTTCTTATGCTGGTTCTAATAAATAAACAATGATAATTCTTCTTTGAACTATGCAGATTGGTTCTTAACCTGGTTCTAATAAATAAACAATGATAATTCTTCTTTGAACCATGTGAACTGGTTCTTATGCTGGTTCCAATAAATAAACAATGATAATTCTTCTTTTAACCATGTGGACTGGTTTTTATGCTGGTTCTAATAAATAAGCAATTATAATTCTTCTTTGAACCATGTAGACTGGCGCTACAAATTCACAAAGAACTGTAACAGAAACCACATCATATGAGGACTACCAAGAGCAACAACAACTAAAATCGAAAACATTTATCCGTCATTCATTTAATACAATGTCTACTATCTTGGATATTTGAATCCTCATATGTTTTATATTAGGATTCAAATATCCAAGATTTTTAAAAAGCTTGAGATACCAAAGACATGCCTCCATGTCTAAGTCTTTATCATTTGATATTTAAAACTGGATGCTAAATTATTGTAATCTTTAAGAAGGAGCGGATAATTCTTTCTCTTTTGCCTCATCATCGGCCTCCCTAAAAATATATCCGATTCTTCATGAACCCCTTTAACTGAAAATTGTACTGCTAAAGTTCTTTGGGAATGCTAAATCAAAAATGATAACCTTTAAAAGATAATTTTCTTTATTATTTTTTTTATTTCTAAATGTCATGACTGATGCGGCATTCACCCTGGGCGGATTGAGCCGGCTTCTTTCTGTTATGAGAAGAAGATTCTTGGGATAAATTACAGAAGTAGGGTACCCGGGCCTACTCGGATAACGTTCTTGCTTGCCGCGGGGTTCCCACAGACGCAGAGACAGGGACGACCAGAAGCCGCCGGTTACCGATGCAGACGCTCCTTTGATTTTCACCAGAGCCCTTGTTAGCCGGCGTGTGTATCAGACCTGTCCGCCTTGGGTGGCCCTACCAGGAACGAAGTTCCGGGCAGCATAGCTCTGACACTACCGTTTACACCCCCCCCCACCGACTGTGAGGTAAGGGTTGGACTTTGGGGGCTTACAGTACCAGGTGTTCCCAAGCGGTCCCCCATCTAAGTACTGACCTGGCTCTACGATGCTTAGCTTCGGTGATCGTACGAGAACCGGTGTTTCAGCGTGATTTGACCGTAAGCTCTATTATCCAAGACAACAGCGAATATTTTAACCCTTTAATCCTTGACCACCGCTTTACTGATGGTAGAGAAAAATGACGTAATGCTCAGCCACCGGTTGAACAGTGGTAGAAACAATGACTTAATGCCCAACTACCGGTTGAACGGTGGGTAAACACTTGTAACCATTTTTATATCTACCATGAAACATTATATATCAATTATTTGTGAATTTTGACTCAGAAGCTCAGGCAGAAGGGTTACAATTGTTCAGGAACACAGGGTTCAAAGGGTTAATAAATGTTCTTTACGAAACTAAGTCTTAAGATATGTTATAAAACAATTTCTTGTACTGGTTCTAATAAATAAACAATGATAATTCTTCTTTGAACCATGTAGACTGGCGCTACAAATTCACAAAGAACTGTAACAGAAACCACATCATATGAGGACTACCAACAGCAAAAACAATTAAAATGGATGACATTTATTCGTCATTCATTTAATACAATGTCTACTATCTTGGATATTTGAATCATAATATAAAAGATATTAGGATTCAAATATCCAAGATAGTAGATATTTTATGGGCACACTTATAAAATAACTAAAATTCTGGGGTGCACTTTAAATTTTAATTAATAAAAATTAGTCATGACATTTAGAAATAAAAAAAAATAATAAAGAAAATTATCTTTTAACGGTTATCATTTTTGATTTAGCATTCCCAAAGAACTTTAGCAGTACAATTTTCAGTTAAAGGGGTTCATAAAGAATCTGATATATTTTTAGGGAGGCCGATGATGAGGCAAAAGAGAAAGGATTATCCGCTCCTTCTTAAAGATTACGATAATTTAGCATCCAGTTTTAAATATGAAATGATAAAGACTTAGAAATGTAGTTATGTCTTTGCTATCTCAAGCTTTTTAAAAATAAAGATTTTTAAATATAAAAATAATTCATAAATTACTCTTCTGTTAACTTGGGGCACACCTGGCTAGCTTGGTTAATTTACAGTGTAACACCTGCGCTCAATTCGCATTCAAAATTTCCAAAATACTTACATTTATGTGCAATTGTACATGCTCCATTTGAATCTGGCTTTATAAATTTAATAAAATCTACTGTTTTGGTGTTATCGACAGTGAAATTTTGGATTTAATCGCGTCGTTGTCGGCAGCCATTACTCGCATTGTTTGCATACATTTGCTGCGGAATGTTAAACGCGGAAGACTACGGAAAGCTAAGCTCGGAATTGATCTTTCTTGTCTAAACTTGTCTCAATTACTGCGCACGTGAACTATTTACGTAGACACGCTCAGTTTGCGCAATTATACCTACACTGATAGCTATTCTACAACGAAGATATGCAAACAACGCCAGTAATGGCTACCCACGACGCGAATGAATCCGAACTTTCACTGTCGATAACTCCAAAACTGTAGATTTTATCAAATTTATCAAGCCAGATTCGAATGGAGCATGTACAATTACACATAAAAGTATTCAGGAAATTTTAATGCGAACTGAGTGCGGGTTTTTCACTGCAAATTAACCGTTAGCTGTTAAGGCGGGTGAGAAATAACGGTTGAGAAACACTGCCATAAAGAATAGTGCCAGATACTTTGTGTTTTTCCTTCTCTCCATCGTATCATGCGACATCTTTATTCGCTATTGTCATTTTTTTTACTAAAATAAACCTCCACAAATCAAGGTAAAACATACTAAACTTCAGGATATCTACTTTTCAGTAGTGGTTTATATTGATCTAAATAAAACCGTGGATGAACGTCCAAGATATACAATATACATTTGCTGCGGAAAGTTAATGCGGAGGACTACGGAAAGTTTAGCTCGGAATTGATCTTTCTTGTCTAAACTTGTCTCAATTACTGCGCACGAGAACTATTTACGTAGACACGCTCAGGCAAAAGATAATTATTTATTAGAACCAGCATAAGAACCAGGTTAACCTTCTTTGTGAATTTGTAGCGCCAGTCCACAATTAGTTTCATGTGGCAGGAAAAGTTCTTTTCATTTTCTTCTCCCTCACCTACTGACTACACTTTGTTAAACTTTGTTCACTTTAATATTTGGTAAACACATAATTTTCACATGATTTGACAGCTCCTAACTCATGGGCAAATTGACAGCAATGACACCGACTCAACTACTTTTGCAAATCGTGTCTGAGTCGTCTGAGAATAGGAGATGATTATAGTAAAGTGGAAAATTTTCCGTATTGTGAGTACAATGTAAGGAAAAAAAGAGTTCACCATATTAGTAACTAGCTTAAAAACCGCACTTCGTGGGCTAATTGAGACTCCGGTCAAAAATTAGAGGGACCTCTGATTCAGCTTGGAAAACAGCAATAATAACCACCCTCATTCCTTTCATATCCCCCACTGATGAAATGCAAATTCCATTCAAGCAGCTTATTCCGACGAAAAGCTACCATGTTGAACCGCCTCTTAAGATGCTGCTTCCTCGATCACTATAATCTTAACCTGTTCAAGTTTAGAATTAACGGTTATCTTCCATATCAGCATAAGCTGTCCCTGGTACTGTGTATCCCTCTACCTCAAGTGGCTCCTGTACTTTGTACAAGGTGAACACTACTGTAAAAAGAAAGTTCTACTCAGGTTCTTCCCAAAAGCTTCTAGTTTTTGGAATAGACTCCCGCGTGGATGCTTCCCCGATCGCTAAAATCTTAGCCTCTTCAAGCCTAGGGTCAATCGTTATCTATCCTCTATATCTTCGTAATCTTCACTTACTACTTCCTTACGTTTATATCACGCACCTCATTCAGTAACTCTTTACCGTGTATCGATGTTGAGCCCTGTATTGAGCGGAAATATGTTTTAGAAAAAGAAGCCTATATGTTGTGCGTTTTTTTGGACTGATCTGTAAGCGAGCATTGTATATTCAACAAGTGTTTTGATCTTTACATTCACGCACATATGCACACCTGAGAAGTCTGGAAGTGCAGTTAGATAATCATTCCTTTTTTTTTTTTTTTTCTTCGGTAAATTGTACTCATATTTGTCTATTTACATCCGGCGTCGCGAAACGCAAAGTGCTTCTAAGTTCATAAAAATTCGCTGAACCGTGACCGCCCGACCCCTTTCGCCATTAAAAGCGAAAGTACGCCGTCAGTGTTTACCGGAAGCTGTCACCACGTTTCCCACGATTCCGTGTACAATGGCTCGCTTGAAGTTTAATTTATTTTCCCACCTTTCTCCGCTTCGTACCAAAATGGCTATCTTACGAACGAGAATGGCGTTGTTGTTTGAAACCTTCACAGATGTCCGGGTGTATGAGTTAGTGTATTTTATTCAGCTTACGGCCATATCACATTGAAATACCGGTTCTCGAAGTTAAGCAACGTCTAGCCTGGTTAGTACCTAGATAGGTTGGGAATACCAAGTGCTGTAAGCTTGGAGGTGCGGCTGGTATAACGGATAATGGCTCGGAATGTTTAATTGCAGAGTTCGTTATATTTAGTTACGCGCAAATACGCTTGAGAATAGGTGTGTTATCTACCTCTTTTCCTCCAGATAGGAGTTAATTAGTAAGGCTTGTATCACTAAATTATTATCATCGCCCCCCCCCAAATTTCTTGCAGTCTGAAAATATTTTCTGGTTTTGAATAACCCGCAAAGAGTTAATAAGAAAACGAATCAATTAATCAATGATTGGTTGGGCATTTCTTACTTTATTCATGTTCAGCACAGTTTAAAGATTTTTCTTCAAAGGGAGAATTTAAGAAATTCACTTGTTTTTTCTTAGTATTTTAGATACTTACAGAAACACGATATTTTACGCATTTTATGTTTAGTTTTCAATTGTTTCAGTTATTTTATTAGTTAGTTACGTCTAGTTAATTTTCCTAGTCTTTTTTTATCGATTACTAACGCCTTGAACTTTGTGTTCTTTTTCCATAAATGGTATTTCTGTCATATGTCCCTGATCTACTTGTTTGATATCAGCATCAAGGAAAAAGAAAAAAAAACATATTTTGAACTTCAATTTTCTGACCCTATGACAGTATGATCTGGGCGGGGAAAAATAGTTAGCACTTAGCAAATAATGTAGGTATGAAATTAAATATATGTTTTATTTGTTCATACACAGAGCAAGGAAAGTAAATATGGGTAGGTTAAGCGATTTGTCAACACATATACACCAGCTTCTCAAATGAAATAATCACGACCACTAGTGGTTATCAGCAAACAAAGGGGAGGGAACTCTAATTATAAACCGCACTTCTCTGAATTAAAAACAGGCGGTTTGGTTAACGTGTTCTTTATTGTTCCTGCTGATCTGACGAGAAAGAAAAAGCGTGCATGTTATTTTTTTTTTAATTTGGAGAAGTCATGGTGGACAGTTGTGAACTAAAAAGAACTGTTTTTCATCAGAATTCTAATGATGATGAGACTAAGTGTTGAAATATTTCTAAAAGCAATAACACCTTTTATTTTAATTAAATATTAATTATCTGTGAATACATTTGAAATAAAATATGAGCAACGAGGAAGTCTTAAACATCGTCCGGTTCACACTCCTCCCCGGTCTTTTGAACAGGAGTAGATGTTTATCCCTTGTTTCCAGCTTAGGATTAGTTTTCTGGTCCCTTCTAATGTCTACTTCAACTCTTTACTTCCAACGTCTACGTCGGAACTCTAACATTTTATTCACTAATTAAACCTTGACCTCTTCAAGTTTAGAATTAGCCGTCTACCTTTCCTGTTACTCTGCTCTTTCTTATGTTAATACAACTACAGTGATGGCTTTGTTTAGATTATTGGTCACGCTAGATAACACGCTTATCTCCCAGAAACTGTAACTAAGGTCTGCTCAGCATAATTGCACTATAAACCACAGGTGGGCTCTGTGGAAGGTGGAAAAACACAAAATATACCTGAGCAAGCGTCTGCAATAAGGCTTAGCTAGCCGCCGTAATAGACAAGTATCCTCGAATATGAGTGGCCAATCATTAACGTAACAACTCCACATAGT